TGATGGGCCGCACCAGCCCTTCTTCTCCCTACCTCTATCCATTCCTCACACCTAACACCTCACACCTCACACCTCACAACTCCCACCTCACAACTCACACCTCACACCTCCCACCTCACACCTCCCACACTTCTCGTCCTGGATTCCTCATCAGGACGTGCTGGGCAAATGGGCAGGGACGCTGTTTGGAGTGGCGCTGCTGGCAGCAGGGCAGAGCAGCACGGTCACTGGGACGTATGCCGGGCAATACGTCATGCAGGTGGGGTTAGGCACTAGGCCGGTGAGCATGTGCTGCAGGTGGGGTTAGGTAATATGTTATACGGGTAAATCTCTTGCAACGCCTCAAAAGGGGCTGGCAGCAGGGCAGAGCAGCACGGTCACTGGGACGAATGCCGGGCAATATGTGATGCAGGTGGGGCGAAGCAGTGGCTCCGGGCAGTATGTGGTGCAGGTGGGGTTTGGCAACTGGCAGGGCAGCACGTGGTGGAGGTGAGGGCAGCACGTGGTGGAGGTGAGGTCAGCACTCCATCCATTGTGCTACTCCCTTACCTGCTCCTCCAAATTCCCTCCTTTTCTCCTCCCTTTCACATCCCTCTCTCCTCCTGTCTTCTCCTCTCTACCATAACACGGCCTTCATTTCCACTTTCCCGCCCTCACTTCCCCTCTCCCATCATCCTCGATACAGGGCTTCATTGAGCTCCGTATAAGCACGTGGCTGCGCAACCTCATCACGCGCTCTGTTGCCATCGTGCCAGCACTGCTCGTGGCTCTCCTCTTCGGAGCCCAGGGAGCCAGCCTCCTCATCATCCTCTGCTCGGTGAGTGCAGGCGATGCAGTGTGTGGTAAGAGCAGGAGGTGCAGCGCTTGTAATGGCTGCGTAAATTCATAACGCACTCTCCTCTTCGGAGCCCAGGGAGCCAGCCTCCTCATCATCCTCTTCTCGGTGAGCACACACCGTCAATACAATCACACAGTGCAGTGCGCGGTAAGAGCACACCGACAATCACAGTGATTGCAAACGACCTCACATTTCCTTCGTTTCAATAAGAACAAGCATTTTGGAGAACAAGCCCCTAATGGCGATTTTTTACCTTTTCTTTTCTTTTCTTTTCCGGGCCCCCCTCCCTGCGCCCCATTCTTCCCCCGCTCTCCTCTTTGGCCCCTCTAACCCTTTTGCTTCCCCTCCTCACCTCTCTCCCCGCAACCCAGATTGTGTCATCCTTTGGCCTGCCCTTCGTCCTCACCCCTTTGCTCAAGTTCCCCGGCGCCACTCTCAAAGAACCTTCTATTTCGAGACATCTTTGACCCCTTTGCTGCGCCTCCCCTGTGCTTTCTCCCCTCATATCTGTACCCACCAGATTGTGTCATCATTTGGTCTGCCCTTCGCCCTCATCCCCCTGCTCAAGTTCACCAGCACCACTCTCAAGATGGGCATGTTTGCTACCCATGCATGGGTAAGACTCACTTGCGCCGTTTTTGAGGCACCGCAAAAGTTCCCTTCGCCTTCATCCTCTGCTCAAGTTCACCAGCACCACTCTCAAGATGGGCATGTTTGCTACCCATGCATGGGTAAGACTCACTTGCGCCGTTTTTGAGGCACCGCAAAAGTTCCCTTCGCCTTCATCCCTCTGCTCAAGTTCACCAGCACCACTCTCAAGATGGGCATGTTTGCTACCCATGCATGGGTAAGTCTCACTTGCGCCGTTTTTGAGGCACCGCAAAAGTTCCCTTCGCCTTCATCCCTCTGCTCAAGTTCACCAGCACCACTCTCAAGATGGGCATGTTTGCTACCCATGCATGGGTAAGACTCACTTGCGCCGTTTTTGAGGCACTGCAAAAGTTCCCTTCGCCTTCATCCCTCTGCTCAAGTTCACCAGCACCACTCTCAAGATGGGCATGTTTGCTACCCATGCATGGGTAAGACTCACTTGCGCCGTTTTTGAGGCACCGCAAAAGTTCCCTTCGCCTTCATCCCTCTGCTCAAGTTCACCAGCACCACTCTCAAGATGGGCATGTTTGCTACCCATGCATGGGTAAGACTCACTTGCGCCGTTTTTGAGGCACCGCAAAAGTTCCCTTCGCCTTCATCCCTCTGCTCAAGTTCACCAGCACCACTCTCAAGATGGGCATGTTTGCTACCCATGCATGGGTAAGACTCACTTGCGCCGTTTTTGAGGCACCGCAAAAGTTCCCTTCGCCTTCATCCCTCTGCTCAAGTTCACCAGCACCACTCTCAAGATGGGCATGTTTGCTACCCATGCATGGGTAAGACTCACTTGCGCCGTTTTTGAGGCACCGCAAAAGTTCCCTTCGCCTTCATCCCTCTGCTCAAGTTCACCAGCACCACTCTCAAGATGGGCATGTTTGCTACCCATGCATGGGTAAGACTCACTTGCGCCGTTTTTGAGGCACCGCAAAAGTTCCCTTCGCCTTCATCCCTCTGCTCAAGTTCACCTGCACCACTCTCAAGATGGGCATGTTTGCTACCCATGCATGGGTAAGACTCACTTGCGCCGTTTTTGAGGCACCGCAAAAGTTCCCTTCGCCTTCATCCCTCTGCTCAAGTTCACCAGCACCACTCTCAAGATGGGCATGTTTGCTACCCATGCATGGGTAAGACTCACTTGCGCCGTTTTTGAGGCACCGCAAAAGTTCCCTTCGCCTTCATCCCTCTGCTCAAGTTCACCAGCACCACTCTCAAGATGGGCATGTTTGCTACCCATGCATGGGTAAGACTCACTTGCGCCGTTTTTGAGGCACCGCAAAAGTTCCCTTCGCCTTCATCCCTCTGCTCAAGTTCACCAGCACCACTCTCAAGATGGGCATGTTTGCTACCCATGCATGGGTAAGACTCACTTGCGCCGTTTTTGAGGCACCGCAAAAGTTCCCTTCGCCTTCATCCCTCTGCTCAAGTTCACCAGCACCACTCTCAAGATGGGCATGTTTGCTACCCATGCATGGGTAAGACTCACTTGCGCCGTTTTTGAGGCACCGCAAAAGTTCCCTTCGCCTTCATCCCTCTGCTCAAGTTCACCAGCACCACTCTCAAGATGGGCATGTTTGCTACCCATGCATGGGTAAGACTTGCCCCCTCGTGAACCTCACCTCTTCGAGTGGTGGCGTGTGCAAGCATCTCACTCTTGGATAATTAGCATGCTTATTTCCTAGTTCCAAAAATTCTTAGGTCCTTGGAAATTCTTAGGTCCTTGGAAATTCTTAGTTCCTTGGAAATTCTTAATTCAGAATCACCTTGCACTCCAATCCGTCATGCCACTCTCACCCTCCTCCCTTCCCTCCCTTAATCTTCCGCGCCCCTGCCCCTCTACCCTCACTCTACCTCTCTCCCTCCCTCTTCCGACACCAACTCACCCTCCCTTTCTTCCTTTTTCCGCCACCCATTCTTCCCACAAACTCCCCTCCCGAACCCCACAACCAGACAACGGTTGCCGCCTCCATTGTGGGCACTCTCATCATCCTAGCAAACGCCTCTCTCATCATCTGGACCTGCGTTGACTTGGCCCACCTCAATCCCTCCTTACCCCCCTCCACCGAATCCAACCTCATCCGAATCATCTTCACCGTTCTAGCCTCCCTGTTACTCCTCCTCTACCTCATCACTCTCGCACTCCTCGCCCTCCGCCCCATATCAACTGCCACGTACCAGCCCACAAAAGACGAGCTTGCCAAAGCTGCTGCAGTGGCCAAAGCACATGACTTAGCCATTGATACTTACACTAACGGAGGCCCAGGTGGGGATAGCAAAGGTGGTGATAGTCAAGGTGGGGAGCGACGAGATTTGGAAGCCGGTTGGGGAGGAGTCAGGTCAGATGGAGTGCGGTTGGAAGGAGCAGCAGCAGCAGAATCAGCAGAATCGGAAGCTGCGGCAGCAGCGGCCGGAGCAGCAGCAGCCGAGGCGGCAGAAGCATCAGCGGCGGCAGCAGCTGCCTCCGCTTTGGCCCGGAGTAGAGCTTCTATGACTGCTGGTTCCAATGTGGCCCCTGGTGCTTCTGGTGCCAGTGATGCTGCTGGCACTGCAGCTGCTTCGTTTTCTGCCTCGGAACCTAGTACCAATGTTGCAGTGAGTGCGGCCACTGAAGCTAGCCTCAACGACTGGTTGAAAGACGCAGAAAAACGTCCTTGAATGGGGGAAATAATGAATACGGGATTGCCCAGGAAGGAAAGCTTGGGTAGATTGGACTGTAGCAAGGGAGTTTTGAGAGTTTCCCAAAAGAAGGGAGTGAGTGTGAGTGAAGGAGTGCGTATAAGGGTGTGGCGGGTTGAATGGGGGGTGTGCAGGTCGGATCAGGGCGAATACATTCTGGAAGTTGGAATGTGATGCACCTGCTTGCTGCACATCCTAGCCCTCGCTCCAAGTATATGAGTTGACTTTTGAGTAAGTTTTTTTGAGAATTCTCAAAAGACTTTTGAGTCGACTCAGAAGTCAACCCTTGACCATGAGGACATTCTTGGTGTGTGGTAGAATTCGGTGTGTTACCACATTTGAGGCGCCTCAAAAGTGGTAGAATTCGGAGTGTTACCACATTAGAAAACAGCTAGTGGACAGCAACATTCGTTGATTTTTCTGGACCATTTCTAAGAGACTAAAACGTGCAATACATTTGGTATGCCCAAACATGAAAACACGTGATTTATGAGCAGGATATACATACATGTAAATACAGTGTTCAAGTGGGGCATCAGACAGGAGACCTAATGGGTTTTGTGCGGTGGGAGGTACTTCTGCTCCAGGCACACCTTCAGTGCCTCATAATTCTCAAAACACATGCGCGGCACCACGCATAGCAGACAGGGAGACAGGAGAAGTGGGTAGTAAGGTAGATGCTTTTCATGCAGTGGCTCAAGCAGCAGGCACGGGGTCAAGCAGGAAAGGGGACGCACTCCAGCAGCCATGCTCACATATCCGCCAGCTCCTCACAGCACATGGCAACTTTTGAGACGTCTAAAAAGGCGGGTGGCAGGATGTCAAGCAGGTGGTGTTACTAGAGAGGGGCGAGCTCCAACAGCCATGCTCTCATATCCGCCAGCTCCTCACGGCTCATGCCATGGCCCAGGCTGTAGGGAAACAGGGGAAACCCAAAGAATTCCGAGAGGTTGTTGAAGAGAAATACAGCGGGTGGTGGGATAATGCTCTAGAGTAGACTAAAAAACACATGTATATAGATATATGTACGTACATATGTACATATATTAGTGAAAACTTTTCTAAAGGGAGAATCACGTTAAGCCAGTAGAAATCAAGTGGAAGTGAAACCAGGGAGATCCCTTGTAAGACAGATCCCCGTATCCCTCATACTACACTTTCCCATACATCATGTCCCACGCAGTAAGGAGAGGCTGGAGAAGCCAGGAGGGTATGGCGCCTGGCTTCTCCAGCCTCACCTTTCCCATACATCATATCCCTCGCAGTTATGCATTATCACTTAGGATATGAATTTTAGGGTGAGGCTGGAGAAGCCAGGAGGGTATGGTGCCTGGCTTGATTTAACCATCATCCCCTCAACCAATCGTTTCATTCACAGTAGCAGAATCTTACTTGGGATATGTCTTGAAGGTGAGGTTGGAGAAGCCAGCATCGCGCAGCAGGTCATACCCCACCAGGGGGTCAGCTGCACATGCAAGCACATGTGAGAAATCCACGAGGGAAGGGGGAAACAGCAGACAAGGCAGTCAACTCAAGTTTCTCCAGCTCGTGTTACACAAGGCGCCTCAAGAAGCCAGCACTGTGCAGCAGGTCAGAGCAGTCCCACCTGCCTCAGGCGTAGTGACTTTTGAGTCAACTAAAAGTCGCAGGTCAGAGCAGTCCCACCTGCCCCAGGCGTATCCTCCACTTCCCACCAACAACATACCTTCCCCAAGCGTCATGAACAGAGGATGCCTTGCAGCCCTCTTTGCAACGGCTCCATCCGCCCCTCCAGGTCCCGGCACCAGACTGTGGCGGTGGGGGGTGGATAAGAGGGAGGAAAATGGGGAGGAAAGAAGGAGCCACGGAATCGTGCTTGAGTCGACTCAAAATGCAGCCCTCTCTGCAACAGCTCCATCCACCCCTCCAGGCCTCGGCACAGCACCACGCCCCGGGCCCTGAAGCTCCATCCGCCCCTCCAGGCCTCGGCACCAGACTGTGAAGGGAGGAAATGTGGAACCACGGATTCATCGGTGAGAGAAGATAAAACCTTCCCCAGATTCCACGTGCAATTTGGCAAGCAGCCACTCAAAGCAGCGGGAGGCAGAGAGGGGCAAAGAAGAAACTACCTAAACCTTTTCAAGGTCCTACCCCTTCAGATAACACATTCACCAGACCCCACCTGCACTTGGGAAGCCACATGCTGAGGCGAATAGAGGCAATGAAAGGCTGAGAGGAAACGACCTGCTTTTTCCATATCATACCCCTTCAGATAACACCTCCCCCAGACCCCACCTGCACTGGGGCAGCCACGTGCTGAGGCCAATGGAGGCAGAGAAAGGCAGAGCGGAGGCATCAGAACCATCCGCGAAGCTTCCCAGCGCCTTCCGGCACATGAGGTAGAGGGAGAGGCCGCCCCCTTGGCTGATCCCTCCCACTATATACGTGACGTCTGGTGGGTGCGGGCAAGGAGGGAGAGGAAGAAAGGGTTTCGATTAAAGGCATCTCAATATGAGGTACTAGTATGCGCCCCCTTGGCTGATCCCACCCACAATATAGGTGACGACTGGTGAGGCTGAGACAGAGGGGGACAGAAGAAACTGGGAGCATTTCAATCAAAGGTACCAGTGAAAAAGAAGGGGTTGGGGGGAAAGAGCGCCCGCGCCACCTTGGCTGATCCCACCCACTTATCTCGCTGCCACATCAATGCCTTTCAGACCTAGCCAGCCCTGTTGCTACTCTCCTAATCAGCACAGCACAGCACCGCACCGCACCCACCAGGATTCGCCTTCTTCTCCTCTTCAAGAATCCCAGCAATGTATCTGGCAGCCTCGTCAAGGCCCCTGGCAACTAACCCTCTTTGTGGTTTCTTAATCAACACAACACAGCACAGCACAGCACAGAACCCCACCCGCCCACCCACCCACCCACCAGGATTGGCCCTTCTCTCCTCCTCGAGAATCCCAGCAATGTATCTGGCTGCCTCATCGAGGCCCCTGGCATCCACGGGAAAGTCGGCGTTGAAACCATCAGTATTGAAGCTGCAGACGTCGTACCCTGATAGGGGAGATGGAGGGGGACATGGAGGGGGGCATGGATGAGGGGCATGGAGGGGGGCATGCATGCAAAAATGAGCGGTTGAGTGAGCGACTTGTGAGAATTCTCAAAAGCCATCAACGGGAACAATCGCTTTGAAATCAAAGACGTCGTACCCTGAATAGGGGAGATGGATGAGGGAGGAATGAGGGAGGAATTAGGGAGGAATGAGGGAGGAATGAGGGAGGAATGAGGGAGGAATGAGGGATGGATGAGGGAGGAATGAGGGAGGAATGAGGGATGGATGAGGGAGGAATGAGGGAGGAATGAGGGAGGAATGAGGGAGGAATGAGGGATGGATGTGGGAGGAATGAGGGAGGAATGAGGGATGGATGAGGGAGGAATGAGGGAGGAATGAGGGAGGAATGAGGGAGGAATGAGGGAGGAATGAGGGAGGAATGAGGGAGGAATGAGGGAGGAATGAGGGATGGATGAGGGAGGAATGAGGGAGGAATGAGGGATGGATGAGGGAGGAATGAGGGAGGAATGAGGGAGGAATGAGGGATCGATGAAGGATGGATGAGGGATGGAGGAACATAGATGGGGTGGGAGAAGAAGGGCAGGTGGGTAGGCGACTAACAAGGCACCCCTGACAGCTATTTGTGGTGGGAGCACGATTCTTTTTGAGACGTCTCAAAAATACCCTCATTACACGCGACTCTCAAGGCACACCCCTGACAGCTATTTGTGCTGGGAGCAAGATTCTCAGCAAGGGCGCATGGGTGACTCACAGCAAGGGCGTGTGAGGGACTCACAGGAAGGGGCGCGATGGCCTCGGTTGACAGTCACAGGGGCTGTAGGCGCGCTGGGGAAGATCCACTTGACCTGCCACGAGGGAATATGGGGCGGAGGTGAGGAAAGAAAGGTGGGTGGAGTTTTGTTCAGGTGCCTCAGCCATCGTTTATAGGGGCACTGGGAAAGATCACTTGCCCTGCAATAAAGGAATGCAGGGTGGAAATGAGGTGACGCGAGATGACCCGTGGATGGGTGCAGAATTCTAAAGCGCCTAAAGAAATGTCACTACAGACACTGGGAAACATTCAATCCAGCGCACATGGAAAAGCCTCCGTTGTAGGATGATTTCAAGTATTCACAAATCAACCCACGACACGACACGTGGAGGTCCAGTAAAAACCCTCCGTTCTCAGTGACCCCCCTGCCCAACCCCACCTCATGCAGCCATGCAAGCACCCATGACCTGTGTCGACTCGACAAACAGTTACACAGACATGTGGGCGGTCGGTCGGGTCGAGTTCAAATCTGTGACTCACTCTTATTTCCGAGCACACTAAACAGGTGCAGCCATTGCGACAGACACACGTAGCCTGTGTCGACTCGACATACAGTTCTATGCACGTGTGGGAGGTTGAGTAGAAAGCCGATGCTCTCAGTATTCCACACCGCACCCCACCCCACCCCACCCCACCTCACCCCACCCCACCGCACCCCACTCCACCGCATCGCACCGCACCGCACCTCACCTCACCCCACCCCACCCCACCCCACACTTCATCCATCCATTCCGAGACGCCATCACTGGTGTCGACTCAACAGACAGTTGGAACTTATTCGTACGTGTGGGAGGTCGAGTAAGAAGAATCCGCAGTCAACATTCCACTCTTCATCCATCCATTCCGAGACGCCATCACCGGTGTCGACTCAACAGACAGTTGGAACTTAAACGTACGTGTGGGAGGTCGAGTAAGAAGAAGCCGCAGTCAACATTCCACACTTCATCCATCCATTCCGAGACGCCATCACCGGTGTCGACTCAACAGACAGTTGGAACTTAAACGTACGTGTGGGAGGTCGAGTAAGAAGAAGCCGCGGTCAACATTCCACACTTCATCCATCCATTCCGCGACGCCATCACCGGTGTCGACTCAACAGACAGTTGGAACTTAAACGTACGTGTGGGAGGTCGAGTAAGAAGAACCCGCAGTCAACATTCCACACTTCATCCATCCATTCCGCGACGCCATCACCGGTGTCGACTCAACAGACAGTTGGAACTTAAACGTACGTGTGGGAGGTCGAGTAAGAAGAACCCGCAGTCAACATTCCACACTTCATCCATCCATTCCGCGACGCCATCACCGGTGTCGACTCAACAGACAGTTGGAACTTAAACGTACGTGTGGGAGGTCGAGTAAGAAGAAGCCGCAGTCAACATTCCACACTTCATCCATCCATTCCGCGACGCCATCACCGGTGTCCCCCAGCCTGTGCAGCCACACCACGGTGACCCTGTGTAGCCCTTCCTGTGCTTCCACCACTTTGGTCGTGCCCGCTCGTGTGCCTGGGGGCGAGGGAAGGCGGGAAGCCGAAGAGGTGAGGTTAGAGAGTGAGAGTCATTGCAAGAAGCTGTAGCAGGTGTCCCCCAGCCTATGCATGCAGAGACACCAACGTGGCAGTGTGCTGCCCTTCCTGCGCCGGCACCACTCGGCTCCTCCCCACTCGTGTGTCTGTGGGGAAGTGGGTGAAGAGGGAGCGCGAAGGGAGTGGGCATTCCGGTCGAATCAGACGTCCAGCACCCATACCAGCCACACCACAGTGGCTGTGTGCTGCCCTTCCTACACCGCCAACTCCTGGGTCCTCCCTTCTGGTGTGCCTGGGTGGAAGTGGGTGAAGCGGGGAGAGGTGTGAAGCAGGTTAGGTGAAGTGGCGTTTTAGTGAACTCAGACGTCATGCAGCCATGCTGTCATGCTGTCATGATGTCACACCAGGCACACCAGGCACACTAGGCACATAATGAGAGCATGACAGCAATGACAGCACGACAGCAGGATGCAGCATGACCGCATGGCAGCACAGAACGACAGAATGCCAGCACTTATGGAGGGGATTAAAAAATGTTAGCGGCTGCAACGAAAGTAGCAGCAGGATCAGACGAAAGGTGGGAGCAACAGAGGTACAGCGACTCGCTGGTGTGATTATGGACTTAGAACGGAATATTTACATTATATATTCTTTGTACGATTAGGTGTATGTACATTGCACTTTCTGTAATGCCAGGTTTAGAGTAACTTGTTTGTAGCAGAACCTGTACATACATAGTCTACATCTGACCTTATACACTGTGTGCACATAGTAATTACATTGTATCTAAGCCGAGGAATTTTGAGATGGAGGGGGGAGAGAACGCAGTGCGAAGAGTGCTGGTGATTGGTAGCGGTGGTGGGCTATTGTTGGACCGATCCTTACTGTATGGCGCTTGATCCGTTGCTGCTGCAGCTGCTGGTTCTGCCGTGGGACTGGAAGGCACGTCTCCACGACCGTTGTGAATGCCGAACATCCCTCGGAAAAGGTTTTTCATTTTCTTTGGGAGAGAATTCCGGACGGACTATGGAAGGGACACGCAAGGGGCCAGTGAATAAGCACGAGAATGGGGTCTATGGAGGAAATGCTGAGCGTTTCGGCAAACCACGGAACGTTTTTAACAGCCGTCGAAGTTGGAACCATGGCGGAAAGAAGGGAGAAGAGGTGTGTGAATTGTGGTGAACGAAGGAGAGAGGAAAGAGCAGCTAAGAGTATGCGCCACGGGAATAGAAGAGTATGCGCGAAAGAGTGGGACGTAACAGAATCCAAGGGGGACCAAGGCCAAATGAACTCTCGGACCAGGTCGGACCAGGGTCTGAGCTAGCCAACGACTCTTCTGATTAGTCTCGAATGTATGCTACATTTCAATGGACATTGTGGGGCATCACGATTGGTCGCAACTATTTCGCGGAGGCATCACGATGTGCGATGACAATAAACTGGTCCGAGTTGTGGTCCCCTTGGTCCATCTTTGGTCCGTGGCTTCTCCGAGCCTTCGTCGCGAGCGAGGCTAGTCTGGGGCGTGGTCGTGAGTGACTCGTGAGAAAGTTTGCGGACCGGACACGTAGCTCGCTTGTCAAATGCTCATGTTACACACAAGGGATAATGAGTGGTTTGAAATGCCGAGCAGAGATTGACATATCAAATTCTGTGTGGTTCGTCAGGCTGGCGACGAAAGATTTGCGCGAAAAAGAGGGGCACTCCTGAAATTGAGGGAATGACGGACCACCCTGGTTTCAGGTTTCCGATTCCTTTCAGCAGTGGTTTTGACACCGCCTTGCTTCACGCTCGCGTCCGATACCTTCGGTCAGTTATTTACGCTATTGCCCCTTTTCGAGTCCAGGAACTAATATTGTGTTTTATTTACTGGGATATCATAAATTAAATTGTCGCGTCAATACGAGAAGCTCGGGACAAAAAAAATATACCCCTCATGGAGGGCATGCCATTTTGGGAGGCATCAACCCTAAACACCATGAGGCAAGGTGTTGATGGTTGCTGTCTCCCAAATGGCCTGCCATCCGAGAGGGGTTTATTTTTTCCACTGGCCACTAAACTAAAACCAGGTAATCTTCAGAATTTTCTTGGTCGCAGGAAATTGGAAATGTCGAAATCAGCTGCCCCAAGAAATCGGACGCGAGCGGAGAAGCAAGGCGGTGTCAAAGCCACTGCCCAAAGGAATCAGAAACTTGAAAACAAGGCGATCTGTCATTTCCTGCCTGAAATTGGATCATCCTTCTGAACGCGGGTATTGTCGAGTATAGACGAACTTACATCAGCCAATCGTCGTTTGGGAAGCATGGCTTGGAGCGTCGCACGCGGTCGACCATGCGACGTTGTTCGGGCAAACGTTCTACGCGCCTAGCACACAAGGCCTTTCATGAGACCCAGCGATTTCAGGTTCGGAAGAAGGTCTAGATTTGGTACGGAAACCACGCTTAACCAACGAGGTTTCTGGATGATACGCACAGTAAGCTTGCACAGTGCCCGTGACACAAACTGGAACACATCCTAAGTTGCCTTAGGACTTGGGAGAGGCATCGAGCTAGGTAGGAACGAGGGCCGCATGAGTGGCGAGTGAGTTGGTCCGAGAATGGAGGAAGAGAGTTTAACTAAAGAAATGAAAGAACATTTAGTCTCACAGATATAACTACACTAGGCCATCCGACAAGCAGTTACACAAGTAGAGCGTTCAACTTGGGCGTCGGACAGGAGATCCAATAGGTTGTGTGCGGTGGGGACGTGCTTCTACTCCAAGTGCCCTAAAAAAATCGCCCAAATGCCTTCCACTCGGAAAAACATAACCCGCGATTCTCAAAGACGTGAATGAGCGGCAGTGCGGCACCACGCAGAGCAGACAGGGAGGCAGGGGATGAAGAAGGCGGTGGCAGCTGCTTTTCTAGAGTCGACTAGAAGAGCTGGTTGGAGGGACGTGCTTTGCATGAATTGACTCAATCAGCACGCAGGAGTCCAAACAGGAGGAGGTAAGTGCTCCAGCAGCTGCTTTTATTGAATTGGCTGAATCAGTAGGCAGGAGGAGTCCATGCGGGTGCTGTTAGTAAATGCTTCTCATGTAAGCGGGTGCTGTAAAGCAGCAGGCAGGAGGTCAAGCGGGAAGAGGGGCGAGCTCCAGCAGCCACTCTCTCATATCCGCCAGCTCCTCGCCGCACATGGCGTGTGCCAGGCTGTAGGGCAATGGGGAAGGCACCAAGATTTTTTTTAAGACTTAATGTATCTGGGGTTGTGTTTTGAGTCGACTCAAAACGAGACATACTGTATCTGGGGTTCAATCGAACATATCCGCCAGCTCCTCACGCCACATGGTGCTGTAGTTCAACAGGGGAAATGAAAAAAAAAAGTATTTTTGGGAAGCCCGCAAGGAGAAATTCAGCGGGTGGTGGGATAACCGTTCTTGTGTCGACTAAAAAAGCATGAGATTGCTTTTTAGATTTCTAAAACTGTGGGAGGAGAAAACGTCAAGCCAGTAGAACAGCAAGAAATCACATGGACTACAAGAAAACACGCAAAACCACGGATATCCCCGATAAGAGATATCCCCATATCCATCATATAGCATGTACCCATAAGGCATCTACAGTAACGCATTCTCACTCGGATATGAAGGCGCGGCTGGGGAAGCTTCACCAGGTACAGTGCTTGAGTGGACCAGACCATCATCCCCTAAACCACATAATGCAGACTAACACAGTCTCACTCACGTGGGATGTGACTTGAAGGTGAGGTTGGAGAAGCCAGGAGGGTATGGTGCCTGGCTTGACTTAACCATCATCCCCTCAACCAAACGATTCATTCACAGTCAAAGTAAACTTACTTGGGATATGTCTTAAAGGTGAGGTTCGAGAAGCCAGGGGGGTATGGCGCCTGGCTTGCCTGTGTGGATACTCAATAACACAATCTTACTGGGGATATGACGTGAAGGTGAGGTTGGTGAAGCCAGCATTGCGCAGCAGCTCGGAGCAATCCCTGCCCCAGCTGTATCCCACGAGAGGGTCAACTGCACACGCACAAGCACACGAAAGAAGTCAACGAGATGACTTTTGGGTCCGCGCTACTTGTGTAGTACGTCGGGCATGGGGCTCGTGCTTGGAGGACGGGGTCCACTTGTCCTCACTGGACACGCAGACGCTTCTTGGGTTGACGACTTGGCTACGCAGCGGTCGTCACAGGGTTACAATTTCAGCCTTGGCTCCGGCTCTGTTTCTTGGCGGTCTACCCGTTCGTCTTCTGTTATCAGTTCCAGTTGTGAGGCTGAGATCTATGCAGGGGCCATGGCTGCATAGGAGTTATGCCTGCTCACCTACCTGCTGACCGACTTGGGAGAGCGGCCTCGTTCTTCTCCAGTTCTGTACGTAGACAACAAGGCCATGATTGCCTTGTGTCAGGAGCACAGACTGGAGCACAGAACGAAGCACATCGCTCTGCGTTACTTCCTTGCTCGAGAGTTGCAGCAGTGTGGTCAGCTTCGTCTTGCTTACGTGGCCACCAGGGCCAACACTGCTGATATATTCACCAAGGCACTTCAGTCTGGTGATCATCAGTGTTTTTGTATTGTTTTAGGCCTTGTGCCTACTTTGCCTCACTTGCTTACTGCGTGACTTTGCTTGTACTGTGATGTATATATATATACTAGCATGCTTACACTTGCTAGGGTATGATCACTGTATTGTTTGTTCTCTTTTATATAACTCTGCATGTGAACTCGCCTTGTGGCCTTTGCTTGTACTCAGAATGTGTAGTGACTTTGTGATCCACCCTGAGCTTGCTTTGTTTTTCTTGACTGGTCTTCTGACCACTTGTTCTCCCCCACTTTGACTATGGGGGTGTGTCAAAATGTTATATAGCTTACTTTGTGTAGGCTATAGTGGGGTAGCCCATAAGGGGTACAACCCAATTAGGGTTAGTAGTTGTACCAACTTTCTGCTCAATGCATTCATTTCTGGTTCAGTATTCTGACAGAGAGAGACATGGTAATTCGGCTGCACGCTTCATTGGTGTCCAGGCTGTTGTATAAAAGACCCTGCATTACAGGGTTGATTTTAGACAAGCACTTCCATTGATCAACACCCCCCACCCACACTTCATTGACACTTGAGGAAGTCCACACAACACACCATTAATCATGCCAATGCCTCCTCATTCCCACCCACTTCTTTCGTATGTCTTTGTTCTGCCCGTCGGTGTCTGAGCATAGCGTGCTTGTTTTGCATGGCGATTGTGTTGCGGCCCAATAGGTTGCAGGCGCGGAGGTTTATGTTACCTACACTCTGAACGATCGAAATTAATGCTGATGTTGTCCACTCACCTCTATTTGCCTGCACATACCGCACCAGGTGTGCCAAAAACTTAGCTGATCAACATCAAATGTACTAGAATATGATCCTTGATCAACACACGAATTGTTCGAAATTTTCAGTGATTTGACATCCTGCAATATCAGTGACGAAACCTGTACATATAGCCGAAGGACCGAGAAGTTGGATGGCAGCAGTGCAGTGTACTGTTTGTTGGAGGTCAAACGCTGTACATACACTGTTGTGTATCGGAGTGGCTGCGTGACGGAGGCAAAATCTTGAAAGTGTCCTTGAAGCGAAGCTGTAAACTGTCGCTACTGCAAAAAATCAAGGCTTGAACGCAAAATTGTGTGGGCTGTAAGGGTGTACTGTAATTGCATGTTCCATGTTGGTTCTGTCAGAAGTTTTACTGTCTACTGTACTTGTCTCTAAACTTCTCACAATGATGAGTGGATGAATCGCGCCTGAATTGGTGTAAGGATTTAACTGTGTTAGAAGTTGAAACGAGCGTCACGGGCGGCACGTTGACTTTTCAACCCAAAGTACCCACAATTATGACGCAACAATTTGCTATCAGTGTAGAAATCTTTGTTGCGATGTGGTATCTCTCACATGATTGTGTATGTGTGTGAGTGAGGAAGAGCTGGCCGCGATTTCTACACTCGTATTTCCATACAAATGCTGTAGTCCTTCCCCCGTTTTCCCTGCAACAACCCAACCCAAAGTGGAGCCTTGATTGGTTCCGGACCTTGGATCTTGGACGACAGAAATAACGAGAGGTAGTGAAAGAATACACGCAAGGATGAAGAACGAGCATTTTTCACAATGGAATGGGGTTCTAAAAAACTGGCACCCCCTAGCTTTAGTAATTACGTACTCAAAACGGAACGTCAATGTACATGCATACCTGTACAATAGGAGGAGAAATGCAAGAAAAAATGCCATAGTCCTCCGTGGTTCCAGCAACATTATGTTCGCTTGTGTCGCCAGTTCAAGTGCTCTTGTTCACAGTTTCTTGCCTACTACTACTCCCTCCCTCCCTCCCTCCCTCCCTCCCTCCCTCCCTCCCTCCCTCCCTCCATCGCTCCCTCCCCCCCTCCCTCCCTCCATAGCTCCCTCCCTCTCTCCCTCCCTCCCTCCCTCCCTCCCTCCCTCCCTCCCTCCCTCCCTCCCTCCCTCCCTCCCTCCCTCCCTCCCTCCCTCCCTCCCTCCCTCCCTCCCTCCATCCCTCCCTCCCTCCATCGCTCCCTCCCTCCCTCCCTCCCTCCCTCCCTCCCTCCCTCCCTCCCTCCCTCCCTCCCTCCCTCCCTCCCTCCCTCCCTCCCTCCCTCCCTCCCGCCCTCCCTCCCTCCCTCCCTCCCTCCCTTCCTCCCTCCCTCCCTCCCTCCCTCCCTCCCCCCTCCCTCCCTCCCTCCTCCGCTCTTCTCTCCCCAACCTTTCTCCCTCTCGAGCCCGCTCCCTCGTCCCCCCTCTCTCCCTTCCGTTTTTCTTTGCCTTCCTCGCTCCTTTCTTCCTCTCTCCCCAGTTTCTCTCACTATCTCTCCCTCCCTCTCCCTCCCTCCCTCCCTCGTGTCCATTCCACAGATTCCCACTCTCATACCATGAAGCCAGACACTGTAGTGATCAAGAAGTATCAACGCAAGGAACGGGTACGTGCACCCACTCTCATACCGCTTCCCCACACCAGCATGCAAACTCCAGTGGACTGCACGATGGGGGAGCATCCAAGAAACCAAGGGATGGAAACCAAGAAGACAGGCAAGAGGACTGGTGTCAGCAGCAGCACGAGAAGCAATTTCCTGTGTGTATTGGGGAGCAAGGGAGGGAGCAAACATGCAAGCAGGAGGCACATAGGAATGCACTGCTGCGTGTGGAGCATCCTGGGACGGAACAGTTGGAGGAGAGGGGAGGGAAGAGCTGCCGGCTTTGTCGCGATGGGATGAGGCTGGTAACAAGAGGAGCTGAGATGGGTTCAGGAGAGGAGGGGGATAAGACTGAGATTGAACGTAAGAAAATCGACGGAAGCAGAGGAGAAGGAGGGGTAAGGGCCAAAGGGAGTGGAGTACCTACGTGGGCTGCTTGGGGGGAGAGCAGGAGACGGAGAATGGAAGGGGCAAGGTTGGAGGGAGAGGCATCAGAGATAGCACATGGCTTAAGATCCGGCTCCCAAGTTCTGGCCTCTGAAGGGGGAAGAGATGAGGTATTAGGCGGCAGGAGAGGGGGGCGTGAGAGGCAAACGGAGCAGGAGGTAGTAAGGCAGAGTGTGAATGCGGAGGAAATTATTAGAGGTGGGAGGGCTATTGTGGGTGGCGGCACCAGTGGTGGCGACTGGTGCGAAGCGAGGCGGCTTGAGGAGTCTAGGTTAGTGGAGGAGAGAGAAGCGGTGATTGTGTCTGGGGTTGCAAAGGAGAGAACAGTTTTAAAGGAAGAAGAAAGGAAGGGCTTCTGTAATGAAGCAGAGGAGAGAGAGGTGGCTGGGGTAGCTAAGAAGAGGAGGAGGATTGGGGCATGGTCAGGTGGGGGATTGAAGAAAGGAGAGGGTCAAGTGGAGGGGCAGGAGGGGCAAGTGCAGGTGGTAAAGGAAGAGCCGCAGATGTTACCGCAGCAGAGGCCTGTCGCTTCCCTGGATACTCGAGCGACGGTTTCGAGTCACAAGGAGATGAAGGAGTGGGTTGAGGAAGAGGCCCAGAAATTGACCCACCGGAGGGCAAAGGAGCAAGCAAGAGACGGCGCAAAGGAGGGGGCAAATGAGAGAACAAAGGAGGGAGCAAATGAGAGAACAAAGGAGGGAGTAAGGGAGGGGGCAAGGGAGGGTGCAATGGGAAGAGTAACGGAAGGAGCGAGGGAAGGAGGTCAGGAGAGAGCGATGGAGAGGAGAGAGGGGGGAGCAGAGAAGAGCAGTGGAGAGCTGGAGGAGCAGGGTTGTGGGGAGGAGAGAGAGGGGAGCAAAGAGGACCGACACCACTGGCTGAAATATGGGCAGAAGGTTCTTATGGAGAGAGTATACACACGGTGAGTGTGAGAAAGCACACACGCGGTGGGTGTGAGTGAACGACTGCACGCAGTGAGTGTGAGCGAGTATACATGCGGTGAGTGTGAGCGAGTATACATGCGGTGAGTGTGAGCGAGTATACATGTGGTGAGTGTGAGCGAGAGTATACACATGGTGAGTGTGAGCGAGTGTAAACACTGTGAGTGTGAGAGCACAGGGAGTGTGTGAGCGAGTGGTCATCCAATGAGAAAAGGACCTTGCATTGCCTCCTCACTCCAAGGAGTGTGTGAGCGTGTGTGTGTGAGCGTGTGTGAGTGAGCGTGGCTGGCCGTACTTCACTATTGCCTCCTCCCTCTGCCTTTCTCTTCCCGTCCGGTCCCCCTATTGCCATTATTGTGTTCTGCTATCCCACCTTATGAGTTAACCCTTGCCTGCTGCATCTCCCCAGTTCACAGGCAACCGGGCAAAGTCGAAGGTTTTACAGCCATTGTGTTCGTGAATGTTGCATTGGTTGTGGATAGTATATCGTTTGTGACTATTACATCCTCTGTGGCCGTTACAGACTTTGTGAATGTAATTTCCTTTGTGAATGTTATATCATTTGTTACTGTTACATTACATCACATGTGAGTGTTGCATCCTTTGTGAATGCTATGCCACAATTTTTCTGAATGATGCACCCCTAGTTTTACCTCATCCATTGTGAAAATATACATTCTACACTTTTGTGAGTGATACACCTTAGGTGAATGCTACAACATTTGGGAGTGTTGTTTATTTCGTGAATGTTACATCCTTTACGAGTTACCTCCTTTGCAAATGTTACAACCTTCAGCCTTTTACATCCTCCATCCGTGAATGCTACATCCTTCTCAAATTACACATTCCGTTTCTTTCCTCCAGAGCCTACTCTTCCCAAGCTCAGCCAGCACGGAGGAGCCTTCCAGCCTCCTGGTCAAAACAAACCACCATTAATTTCCTTCAGTCTCCTCTCTATCCTCGCTTCACCCCTTTCTTGCAACCCGTCCCCTCGCCTCCAGAGCCTATTTCCGGTGTGCCCAGCACACAGCAGGGTGCAAGGCCAAGAAGACTGTTGACATGCCGATCCAACAGCAACCCACCTCTTCTCCCCACTTTCCGCCATCTCTCTCTCAACCGTCCCTCTCTCAGCCGTCCGTCCCTCAGTCATCCTTCCATCAGCCATCCCTCCCGCCACATCCGCAGCCACAGCTACAGCTACAGCTTCAGCCACAGCTTCAGATACAGTCGCAGCCTCACTCTCAGCTACAACCGCGTGTGGTGTTTCTAGGGAAGCACTCGCACCCTCCTCCAGACCGCCCCCGCTCCGCCACCCTCTCCCTGGCGGCCCAGTTCGCTGCCGAAATTAAGGAAGAGGTTCGTGCCGAAGCTGCAGCTGTTGCCGCTGCTGCCGCTGCCACTGCCGGTGCCACTACTGCCGCTGCTGATCCAGCGGCGGTTGCGGCAGCAGCGGCTCTAGTGGGGACCGTTTCCCCACCAGCCACTACCTTGGCAGCTGCTACTGCTGCTGGTGCTGCCACTGCTGCAGCAGCTGCTCTTGCCGCCAGCAATAAGGGAAGTGCATTTGGAGCCTGCACCATCGGTGCTGGTGGTGGGTACTTCAGTCCTCCTTTTGAGGTGTCTCAATACTCAGTTTCTGCTGTTGCTGATGCTGTCACTGTTGCAGCAGCTGCTCTTGCCGCCAGCAATAGCAGAAGTGTTCCTGGGGCCTGCACCATTGGCGCTGGTGGTGGGTACTCCAGTCCTTCTTTTGGTATGAACGTGCAGCAGGCAGCAGGCAGCAAGCAGCAAGCAGCAAGCAGCAGGACGAATCACCATCCAACAGCAGCAACAGAAGCCAAGTCCAGACGCCCTGCGACCTGATTTTTCCAGTGCTGCTTGGAGCAGCCGTGGCAGCATTAGCACCGCCACCACCAGCGGCAACAGTAGCGGCTTGTGTGCACCTTCTGCTACTAGTGCCAGCCGATCACTGCCTTGGGATAACAATGCCCTGGTGTATGGTGGTGCATCAGTAGCTAGCATTCTCGCGAGCAGCATCAGCATCATGTGCAGCACAGTAGTGGGACATGAAGCACGAACAACTGGAGCAGGGGGGGCGTCAGGAGCAGCGGAATCAGCGGGAGCAGCGGGAGCAGCAGGAGCAGCAGGAGCAGCAGGAGCAGCGGGAGCAGCAGGAGTGGTGGGAGCAGCGGGAGCTGTAGGGGTCCTTCAGGTGACTATTCCTACTTCCCCAGCAGGTAACGTTGGTAGCCTGGTTGCTCCTCCTCTTTCTGAACTTCCAGGAAAACCGGGGATGTTTTGGCCTTTGTTGCCAGCTGTAAAAGGATTGAACGTGGGTGCGCTGGTAGCAGCTGCATCAGCGGCACCACATGATTTGTCTGCTGGAAAACACTTGGATGCGCCACAGCAGTGGCTGTTGTGGCTGCATGAGCAGCTGCAGAAGCAGCAGCAGCCACAGCAACAGTAGCAGCAGCAGCAGCAGTAGCAGCAGCAGCAGACACAGCAGCAGCAGCCACAGCAGAAGGAGCCACTGCAGCAGGAACAAGACAATAAGCAAGGGCAACAGGAGCAGAGAGAGTATCTGCAACAGCAATAGGATAAGGAACCGCAACAGCAGGAACAGCAGCAGCAATTGCAAGTGCAAGAGCAAGAGCAAGAGCAAGAGCAAGAGCAACAGCAGCAGCAGCAGTAGCAGCAGCAGCAGCAGCAGCAGCAGCAGCAGCAGCAGCAGCAGCAGCAGCAGCAGCAGCAGCAGCAGCAGCAGCAGCAGCAGCAGCAGCGGCAGCGGAAGCAGCACCACTAGCAAGTGCAGCAGCATCAGCAACAAAATCATCCAGAGCGTCTCCAAGCAACACAAAAGCAGCAGCAGCAGCAGCAGCAACAGCAGCAGCAACAACAACAAAAACAACAGCAACAACAGCAGCAACAACAGCAGCAACAACAGCAACAACAACAGCAGCAACAACAACAGCAACAACAGCAGCAGCAACAACAGCAGCAACAACAGCAGCAGCCACAACAGCAACAACAGCAGCAGCAACAACAGCAGCAACAACAACGGCAACAACAACAGCAGAAGCAACAGCAACATCAGCAGCAGCAACAACAGCAGCAGCAGCAACAGCAGCAACAGCAGCAACAACAACAGCAACACCAACAGCAACAACAGCAGCAGTGACAACAGCAGCAGCAACAGCAACAACAGTGTCGGCAGCAGCAACAACAAAAGCAACAACCACATGATTGAAGAAGTGTTTTGAGACGTCTCAAACCACACAGCAGCAGCCTTCACAAGCCTGAGTGTGCAGCTGATATCACGATAAGCTCACGTGCTGCTTCCATCCTTGCAGCTGCCATTGCCGCAGCAGCTTGTGCCACTTCTGCTGCTCCTGCTGTTCCTGTTCCTGCCCGTGCTGCAGCAGCTTCTCCTGCTGCTGCTCCAATCTCATCCGAACTTGCCACTGCTACTCCGTCTTCTCAACGGGGCAGGTTGCCGATGCACACACCAAGAGCCCCAGACCATGACCGTGCAGATCATTACGCCACTGGACAGAGCAGGAGAAGGCGCACAGAGAGGGAATTGGGATGGGAGGAACGAGACGATAAGATCAGCAGCAGAAGGGAGGAGGGAGGGAAAGTGCCAGGTGGAAAAAAAAGCAAAACGATCTGTTTCGGTAGTTTTGTCTCCTCCGGGCACTTCTGCTGCTGCTGCTGCTGCTGCTGCTGCTGCTGCTTCTGCTGGTGCTGGTGGTACTGCTGCTGCCGAGATTCTTTAACTTGCTGCTTCTCTATCCACAGGACATTCAGCAGCACCCACAAAACTTGCTTCTCCTTCTGCCCGTGCTGATCCTCTTGCTCCTGCCACCCCTTCAAAGCTAACCATTTCCGCTCCTTTCCTCAACCAGACCCTGCCAGCCTTGCCACTGTCCTCTTGGCTTCTCCAATTGCAGCAGCAGTACCGTCAGCAGCAGCACTACCGTCAGCAGCAGCAGTAATGACAGCAGCAGCAGTACTGTCAGCAGCAGCAGCACCTTCAGCAGCAGCAGTATCGTCAGCAGCAGCAGCACCGTCAGCAGCAGCAGTACCGTCAGCAGCAGCAGCAGCAGCACCATCAGCTGAATTACCGTCAGTTGCAGCACCATCAGTACTCTTAGGTGCACGACCATCAGTACCCTCAGCCGCAGCACATGCTTCTTCCAGAGCACTCTCATCGCATCACTTCCAGCCCCCTCTGTCTTTCAAAGTGCATAGCGCGGCCTTCCCCGTAACTCCAGAATCAGCAACAGCTTCAGTTTCAGGTACACCCTCGGTCGCATGTACAGGTTCAGTTACAGGTACACCCTCATTTGCACCTGCAATTTCATCTACAACCTCAAAGCTTGCTAATTCCACGAATCCTGACGTACCTGCATTCCCCACCACAAGGAGGTGTGCTGCTACCACCGCTGCTGCCACCGCTGCTGCCGCCACTGCTGCTACTGCTGCTGCCACCGCTTCTGCTGCTGCTACTAGTGCCACTCCTGCTGCTGGTTATTGCATGCCCAATACTTCAGTGCCAAGTCAGCAGCCAGCATCTACTCAATTTTCGCAGCCCTATCCACTGTTGCCATCTCAGCAACCCACTCCTAACCAGTCGCCCATACCACAACCTGGCTATTCTAAAACCCAGCGCTTTAGCAGATCGCATCTGTTCCATCCTCCACCCCCTACAGCCCCTGAGAAACCACCTAAACAACCAGCCCCTCCAACAGATTCTACTGAAGATGCTGAGGGAGGTGCATTTGGTGGAGAGGGAACACTAGGAGAGGACGAGGGTCACGGTCGTGATGGATGTAGCCGAAGTACGATATACCTTGATTTGAATAAGTGACACATGCAGGTTGAGATTTTAGAGGCCAATCGATGCATGTATAAGAATTTAATGGATGGCCTGCAACTGTACACCCCTAAAACGCGTGTCAAGAGAAATATAGACGGATGATGGT